CGGTGACTGCTCCGCGGGACAGGGACGACTGCCTTTTGCTGCCGCATTTCTTACTAGATGGGATTTTTTTTTATTGTCGCTCTTGCTTCCCTCTCTCTGTGCGCGCCATTTGCTTCAATGGGGGTGGAACAAGTCTTTTTACATCGTTCGCCAACATGTGCCCCTTGTTTTTTTTCTTTTACCCTCCGTTGCTTTTTTTTCTTTTGATTGCCTTTTGTGTGTTGCGGGCTCCGCTGCTGTTTGCTCCGCTGCGGTGGCGGGCAGGCGGTGCGGATAAAAAGAGAGGCGCAACACGCGAGAAGGGGCGGTGGCGGGCGGGAAGGCCACGGGAGACGTTCTGCGGCGCGCTGCAGAGGATGGGCGAGGAAGGGCAGTACATTATTATATTTTTTTGCAGCGGTGCTCTGCGCTGGCGGGCGCGATGCCTCTCTCTTTGGCGGGGGCGGTCTTGTCTGCACTCTCAATCTGTTGCAATGCCGCACTGCCGCCCCGAGTCCCACTAGTCTTCTTCTGCCCTCCCTTTGCCCTCCCCCCCCCCACCTGCGCCGCGGCAGTCCACACACACACACAACCACACGGTACGGATTGCAGGGCACGTGGACGGTTCTTTCGCAGTCGGTGGTGGCACTGCCGTGTGCGGCTTTCTCTTGTGTATGTGGCTGCGTGAACTCGGTGGGCCGCCCTCTTTCTGTTATTTCTATCTGCTCTCTCGTTCACTATTTTTCTCTTGCTTTTTTCTTCCCCGCTGCCTCGCAGCTCACTGGCTCTGCTGCGACTCTACTGCCACTATTTTTACTGATGGCGAGGACGCTGACGGTGCGGCGCCGTGCGGTGTGCGCCCTGGCGCTGCTCTGCGGCTGCTGCTGCGCCCCCTCCGTCTACGGGGCGACGAATTCGTAGGCTGCAGCTAAAGTGAACGTGTCGGTGGAGGTGTCGTGCCCGAACTCTGCGAAAAAGTTGAGTTGGCGCGTTGCCGGCAAGAGTGGTTCTGCTTGGAGCACGTGCCCGAGCAAACCGGAGGATTTTGTGAGCAGTGGAAGCGCTGCTGACAACAACTCCCTCTGCATCTTTGCCGGGTCTGCGTACATGGGCCTGTCCTCGACGGTGCAATGCCCTTCGGATGGGGGCACGGATAAAGTTGTTGCGTTCACGATGGACTGTGCGACGGATGGAAGCAGCGCACTGCACAAGCTGTCGAACAGCGAAACCGTCACCATCAATGCAAAGGAGGATCCCCTCGGCGTGTCAGGCAATTGTGTGCCAGCAACGCCCAGTCAAGCCGCAGCTGAAGTGCCGTCGCTACCGCAATCTCAGGGAGGACAGTCATTACAGTCGGGCGCAGCGGGCCCACCGACACCACCGCAGCCGGCAGCTACAGCAGCAGCGTCATCTTCGGTGCAAACTCCGCATGTTGGCCGTGCGGGGGACGGGCACTCCACTGCCGCCGTGGAGCAGCCAGGCGGTGCGGCGGGTCCCACCGGAAGTCGGGAGCCATCGGCAGGTGGCCTTCAGGAAACTACAGCGCCATCGGCTGACACTGCGGCTTCGCCAACAGCCGCGGCAGGCAGGACGGCGGAAGGAACCCCCACCACAACGACGACGACCAGCAGCCCGAGTGCTGGGAGCCACGCGAAAAGCAACGCAGACGGCGGTGACACCATCTCCGCTGCGTGGATGCGTGCACCTCTGCCGCTGCTGCTCATGGCTGCCCTTGCCTGTGCCTGTGCTGCTGCGTAGGTGGTGAGGGCAAATATACTCGCACACCCTGGCAGGGACGACACTTGCGCTTTGTGCCATTTTTGCATGTTCTCCATGTGTGACAATTCTTCTCTCTCTCCTGCACTCTGAGGGATGTTTTCTTTTCCCCTTTTCTTTTTCTCTTGCTTCGCCACTCCATGCCGGTTCCCATGGGCGGCGCACCCTTTTCCCCTTCTGTTTGCTGCTGCCACCCACACACACACGCGGTGCCGGCCTCGTGGCTGTGCAGTCGCAAGAACTGCCGAAATGAGGCACGGGGCCGCGGACACCGTGAGATGCAAGCGTGATGCGTGTGTGCGCGTGAGGGTAATCATTTTGCATGGAAATCGTTTTGCTTTGCGAAGGCAACAAATACACACACATAGCTTTCTTGGGCTGCTGGACAAGTGAGGCAAAAAACAACATGTCGAGGTTTTTTTTTAACCCCGGGTCCTGCTGGGCTCTCTCTTCCTTGTTTTGTTTCAATTTTCGTTGGGGATGAATCGCTGCGGCTCACGTTTAGTTTGTGCGCCGTGTCTGCCACTGCCGTTGCGTGTCTCCGTGTCCTGTTTGCTCCCGCTGCTGGCTGTGCCGCCGACAC